ATTTCAATATTGTACTATTCCAGTACAATTATATATTTTCCACTTTTCTTCAAAGATGGAAAAAATGAAAAAGTATTATGTCATGAATTTTTCTTTGCCTTCTGTGTTAAAATTTATTTTGTTCTCTGGCAGAATCTATGTTGAGTTTTATAGTAATTTTTCTGTTGGCTTTATGTTCTTAACCCTTTAGATTCTGAAAGAAAAGGATGATTTGAAAAGTCAGCTTTATACGGCATTGCAACAGATAGAGAATCTTAGAAAAGAATTGAGTGATGTCTTAACCAAGCGTGCCGTTCAAGAGGAGGAGCTTCACTCTAAGGAGAAGAAACTAAATGATATTAAGTCTCATCAAGCTCACCTTGAACAAGAAGTCAAGAATTCTGTAGATACCATTGATAGACTAGAGGGTGAATTGAAAAAGCAGAATATGGTTCAAAGTCAGATGAAATTTGAAAAAGCTCACCTGGAGGAAGAAATTGCAGAACTGAAGACGAGCCAAGTTCAGGACAAAGCTAAACTTCTGGAGATGCAAGAGTCCATCAAGGACTTAAGTGCCATTCGAGCAGATCTTGCTAATAAATTGGCTGAAGAAGAGAAAGCCAAGAAAATGGTGGTCAAGGAGCTTTCTGACCTCAAGGCCCAGGCAAAATCCAAAGATGAGGAAACAGCTACTGTCATTACACAGCTGAAGCTGGAGCGAGAGGTTCACCGGAGGGAGCTGAACGATCTCACATCCTCATTGCAGGGTGTGAAAATGAAACATGAGCAAAATATTCAGGAGCTGATGAAGCACTTTAAGAAAGAGAAGAGTGAAGCAGAGCATCATATTAGGACGCTGAAGGTACCTGTGCTGAATTATCTTGATGATACTGAGGGAATTTTTCTGGTGGCTCATGAAGTTAATAAAGCGTAAACTTTAGAGATCATTTTGTATTCGCAAGCACTGAAGGGAAGATAAAACCAACAATAAAGAGGTTTATTCGAGCCTGTTCGGCCAGGTTGAAATGAGTTATAGCAGCCACCTGGGAGAACCTATTTTACAGCACTGAAGCCTTTTAAAAGGAACGTTTAGCTATTTTGGGAGTTCAAGAAAGGTAGAAGTGGCAGTAAGTCCAGGGCCTGAAACATGCCCTCATTCAGCATTTATGACCTCCTAAAATATAAAAGGCAAAGACTTGTCAAGGCCATAGAGGCTATAACCACAGTCCTGATTAGTATGGTAACTAAAGTGGATTGGCTTATGGGCTATGTAACCCAAAGCTTTTGAGGTTTACCCATTGTGTTCCAAATCAAAATTAGCTGGATATGGGGCAACCCGCTTGGGCCCCCTCTTCTGTCCCTCTGTAGGACAGGAGCTTTCTTTCCCCCAGTAAATATATTCTAGTGTTACAAAAAAATGTTAGCTGGATAAATGCCCAATTGAGACCTCACATTTGGGGAGGTGTTTCTCAGGTCTAATGGCTTTAGTGTTATCACTAAGCAGGACAATCACTTCTTACATCATAAATCTAACCTTCCCTGCTTTATTTTTTTCTGTATAGCACTTACTATCATATGGTATAGACTTCATACTATTTATTTTTTAAATTTCCCTTTATTAAAATGAAAATTGTGCATTGGAATTCAAGCCTGATTTCTTTATAGCTAAATCTCTAGTGCCTTAAATAGTTTCAGGAACCTTGTAAATATCTGTTAAGTAGAATGGTACATCTGTAAGAGTTAATTGTATTTCGTTTTTAAAATTCAAAAAATGTAATGCAAAATGAAATTATGTTGAAATAGCTGGTAGTTTTAGAATGTATCTAGCTGGTTTGTAGGTTAATTTTCAGTTGTTTTTAGTTTTTTGGCAATAGTGAATTTAAGGTCAGTAACTCAGGTAAGCATATTGAATGGAGAGTATGTGACCCTTGCTAGATGTCATTGAATCTAAGACATCATCAGTTTTATTTGTTTTTTGGTACCAGAAATTGAACTCAGGACCTTGTGCTTGCTAGGCAGCCACTTGGGCGCTGCTGAGCTATATCCCCAGCCTAACACCATCAGTTTTAAGTTTGTATACCCAATAGTAGCATCGCTATTATATGCTACTAAGAAAAAAAGATACTGCTTTCTTTCTAGGAAAAATATGACATGATATTAAACTGTAGGACAACTACCCAGAGATGGTAGATTGTGAAAAAATGCATTTTATTGTTGCTTAAATTTGGTGTATTAGTACTTTCAAATTTATGAAGACAGAAACAGAAGGATTAGGGTTATGAAGAACTGAGATCTCTGTCTCTGTCTGTCTTGTCTGCTTGTGTATGTTTCTTTTCCATCTTATTTGCTTGGCTGTGACAGTAATACTGTAATCAGACATTTTTGACAGACAGTAATAAAATTAGCAAACATTTTTTCTGCATTTTATGGTAGTCCTGACTAAAACTTTACCTGTGTTAATCACTGCATAGTCATATCACCACTAGAGTTTGTGGAACTTTAGGTAGGTAATGGAGACATACAAAGTGGTAAAAATAACTTGCCCAGAATCTTAGAGCTAAAAAGTGGAGTTAAACTCAGGTGGTTGACTATCTGAATTTTTCATTTTTTTCATCTCCTGGAAAGAGGTTAGAATCAAGAATGATTAGGTAATATCTTAGAGAATGACACTCAATGGTAGACAAACAGAACAGATTTGGACAGAATGTTGGCAATTCTAGTTTTTTAACATGTGAAGTTAGGAGAGATCTTTAGGTTAGTCATGAAAGTCTCGGTTCAGCAGTTTAGTACATAGGGTTTAGGAGCTGAAGAAATTAAGATCAGAATGAAATATTTAGGAGTTAGTAACTTGTAACTGGTAGTTCAAATCATAGGATTTGGAAGACTATACATGCAGAAAGGAAAAGGAATTTCTAGAATTGCAGTGTTTTAAGGAAACAATACAGAACTTCTAGAAAATGAGAATAAAATGACAAATGAGAGGGAAGAGGATATAAGAATAAGAGGAATAAGAATGATACCTTGGACATTTTTAGAAGGGTACAATTGAAACTGTTATATGTGGCAGATAACCTAAAAGAGAGTGAAAATCTGAAAGCAGTTAAAACATTTATTCCATTTGGCAGAGATGGATGGAAAGTGTCCCTAACAGTATATGAAGATATTTCATCAAGGAAATAAGAGTGTAGAACCAAGGGCAGGCATTTCTTCCTTGGAAGATCTTGGTGAAACCAGGAAGGTTGGTTGCACTGAGGGGAGGGTCAAGGGAAATCAAGAGACTGGTGGTGTCTTTTTTTCCCTCCAACACAAGTAGGGCAACACTAGTGACTTTTAAGTGCTGTGAAGCTAGGTATAAATTGCATGGACTGAATCTGGGAGCATGTAAAGTACTGCCATATAGCTGAGAGTGAAGAACAAGTATTTCAAAGGAATGAGAGAGTTGAGGAATAAGAATAGGTACTTTTTAGTTATTAGGTAAGAAATTCTTATATTTTAGTGCAAATTTTCAGAGATAGGATGGGAAGTGTGCACCTGCAGGGTTGCATTTGTGGAATGAGGCTAATGTCACTGAAGTAGAACAGGTTCAATAAACTTTGAGATTATTTTGTGGAGTGGACATTTGGGTGTTTAGTATGGAGAGAGTAATTGGGTGCAGTACCAGAATCCTCCATGGAGAGAGTGACTGGCCAGTCAGTTGTTGCCAGCAAGGAAAGGAGACCTTGGTGAGGAATAGCGTGACTCTTAGGTCTGATAAGGTCAGTGAAATCCCCTCAGGATTTTTCCTGAGATCCTGTACCTCAGATTATAGATCTTTTGTCAGTGTTAGCCATGTGGATGAGTCACGGCCATTGCTTGGCCAATGTGCTCTCTGTGAAAGCTTGAGAGAATGTTTTCTCTCCATGTGACTCTCCTTAGGCACACTCTACATCATCGATCACTTTCCTCTTTGGCCCCATAATCTCCTTGATCAGA